ACACACACACACACACACACACACACACACACACACAAACAAACAGTGGACGCCAAGATAAACTATAAACACAGCGCCAGCGTTAGCACATTACTGATTTGGAGAATCAGCAGTTCAGTGCTCTGTTTGATTGATATAATATATCTAAAGTCATGTTTATGGAGTATTTTTAGTTGAGCTAGAAACGCAATCTTTCCACATATATTTATTTTTTAATTGACTCAACGTGTCATATTTTACAGTACACAAATACACACGACTTTCCGGCCTACACACACAGACATAAGCAGAAACACAAACACACACTTACTCGCACGAACAATTTCTTCGCATGCAAACTCAGTGGAGTGTTGAGAAATGCGATGTAAGGTCGCGCCTCGCCATAAATTATGAACTCCCTCTTGAATTTCAATGAACAGACCTGGCTGAAAGACACCTTTTTTTTTTTGCCGAAAAAGGCGCGTGGGCTGGCGGGATGCTGTCACTCGCCCGTGGTGCTGAAGCTCGAGGTGCTGAAAGGACAGCTCCGCACGCGCGCCTACACGAACTGTGTGCACTCTCGATCGGCTTTCTCCGAGTCGTGTTATTAAACTGAAGCGATGATAGGTCAGAAGCAAACTTACAGAAGGAAATGAAAAACATGCCCCCAATGTTCTCTTATTTAGGCTGTGGCAGTAAATCGTTAAAAGCGCTGCTATAATATCCCCACAGAAAGTTTAGATTAGGAGGAGCCAATCACAATGCTCTCACTAAAGGGCTATTTATAATTCACACGCTCTATGCTTGGTTATCCCTTCTAAATAGTGGGGCTTAACTGGGACCATTATGTTGCCGTTTCCAGCCTACACTGCTGTCACTCTGCCGCGGGGTAGAACACCGCTTTTTGCACCAAAGCCCCCAGTTTGACAGAGACAATCCTCTCTCTAGACAGGCGCTCTTTGGAAGACAGAGGTTTTGAATGCTTCTACATTGGCTACCTCTGCTCTGCTTTGTCCTCGACAAAAAGGCACAAAAAGTTCAGAAGAAAAAAGAGCGGTGACTGTGAATACAGCTGAGAGCCATATGGAGTAGAATCTAATAGTCTAATAGTCTGATGATACATTCTGTATATATATATATATATATATATATATATATATATATATATATATATATATATATGTGTGTGTGTGTGTGTGTGTGTGTGTGTGCGTGTGTGTGTGTGTGTGTGTGTGTGTGTGTGTGTGTGTGTGTGTGTGAATAAAAAAAGTAAATAAATGAATACATATTTTTAGTTTTGAAGGATTTTATATTTATTTACTCCTATAGTGCTGGAATCCTCTTTTACCGTATGGAAGAAAAAAACAACAATTACACAATTATTTTCGAAGTGATAAAAAAATTTATAAAATGATTAAAAAGAAATAAAATAAACATTTAATTTATTATGAAGTTAAGTTAGAGAAGTTAGAGAAAACATGCCCACTTTTTTTCAGGTCTCAACCAAATCCTTTCACCATCCCCACATTCCAAAGTTCAGATATCTGCTCCATATGTTATTTTTCATTCAGCTATTGATCGTGGGAGACTTTGAAAGAAAAAAATGAGGCACATGAAAAGAAACATCGTTTTAAAGCTGACAAGCTTGAACCAGACAGTATCTGTTACAGCTCCATATTGTTTGTAGAGCTTGTTCATTCAGTTCTGATGCTCTACATGGCGTCATTGTAAAGACCAGCCTGTAGATTGTATACAACCCCCTGGCAAAGAAGTGCACAGAATACTCTTAGAGGAAGTTCACTGAGATGATTCACAGAAGAACATATAAGACAGGAAATCAGTTTACAGAAATCCAAAAAATTATAGACAAATAGGAGCAGGAGTCGATGTTTTTGGGCAATTTGCAAGAAATCATCTGAAGGAAAATGGATTCATGTACAGAAAAGGCAAACGTTAGCATCATTAACACCTAAACAGAAGAAAATAAGGTTCCAGTGGGCTGAAGATAAGCAGTCACGGAGTGTGGGTGATTGGCTGGAAGTGGTATTCAGTGGTGAATCCTGGATCTGCCAACATATTGGCCGAGGAGATGATGCTGGAATGATTGCTTAGTGGCAGTCTAAAGGAAAACAAATAGCTCATTTCCAGACTCATTGAAGACAGAACGCATATCAGACAAAAGAAGAACAGATGGTAACGATGCCCTTTACAGTCAAACACACATGGATATTGAAATTATAGACATTTTTATCAGTCCATGAAACCAAAGAAGGCTTACTGATCAGGAAATCGTTATTCAGGTGGCTAATGCATGAAGCAAAGAAAGCTCCAGGTTTTATGAGGGAAATGGAGAAAGACCAGATTTTTTAAAAAATAATTCAAAATTTATTGTGGAATAAAAACAAGGCTGCATGACATGACTCCAGGTAAAGCAGATTGAGAATAGTGGAGAATATCAAGCTGTTGAAGTCTGACTTGCGAAAAATGCTGTTTTCTATGCCTTGGGAAATTCAAGCTGTCAGAAAACTGAGTGAAAAAGTAGCACATAAGTAATTGTATTTTTTGACTCTTTGTACCAGTTTTCCCTTGGAAATTAGCAATTCAACAGTTTCTTTCTCTCTACTCGTTCCCCATCAGTAGTAATATCATGAGATTTTTTAAGTATGCCTGTTTAATTAAATTTGATGGCTTCTGAATGGGGTAGTTCCTTGTGATTTTCTCTCAACTTTTACATGCAGCACCAATAGCTCAAACATATTCTAAGGCAAATCCTAAACATTGTGTAGTGTTGGGGAATAAGGAGTTTCCAAACACTTTTTTTTATTTGATTTTGGAAAATATAAAGTTCTTCCGCATGTTTGTCGATTGCATACAGCTTTACGTAGCGATGATAAGACCGAAATAAATAAATATCAACTATAATACCTAAACTTCGTATTATAGTCTCGTAGTTTTGCTCGAATTGAAATTCAACCAGCAGAGGGCGCCATAACAGATCTAAGAACTTGTCACTCCTCAAGCTTCCCATCTCACTGACCAATGAGCTTGCGGAACGCTAACGCGATGGGCGGGATCAAACGGGACGACACGTAAACATGGCGGCGTCTACAGAAGATGATTTTGAGTTTAATACTCAGGACTACTATTCTCTGCTCAACGTGAGGAAGGAGGTATGGTTTGTTCTTAGTTGTATTGTGAACTCTCTCTTGTTTGCCGTGGCTGTTTGATAGTTTGTCATTGAACCAAAGCGGCCTACAGTCGGTACATCGTCCTCCAGTTAAGCACCGCTCCTCAGTCAGACTGCACCTCCTCCTCAGAGGAGGAGAGGACGAGTCCGGGTTGATGCTGCGGACACTGATTAGATTCCTCGTGAATCTCAGTTTTTATTAAAACTATGGAGAATGATGTTGCTTATGCTTATTTACTGTAGGCAGCTAAAACCCTTACGCTAAAAGCTGAGCCACTATTACATTCTTAGTATCTTAAATAAAGGAGCAAAAGCTGCTTTAATACTACTTGTCCTCCTGTATCAATTGTACCCCTTTAACTTTTTCACATCATGTCATGTTAAAAGCACAAACTTCATTGGATTGTATATACATTTTATGCTGCTTACAGTCTTTTAGGGGTTTGTTTTCGTATTGGTTTTGCACATCTGAACATTTTACCCATTCTTCTTTGTAAGATAGTTCCAGTTTAGTTACATTAAATGATGAGCACACATTTTCTTAAAGCTTGCCATGGAATTTAATTTAGATTTCTTTGACTTTGACTTTCTAAAACTTGTATCTAAACCTTTGCAGTATATAGCAGTATATATATGTATAACTGTTGCTATGCTGAAAGGTATCTCCCTTAAAGTGAGGCATCTCCCTCACTTTACCCCCTGCTGGAGGGAAGCAGTTCCGCAGCATGATATTGCCAACACCATTTTTAACTTGAACATTTTTGTCAAGTTAAATTCAACATGATTTCCTGTCCCTACCTTCCAAATACCATACAAAAACTCTTTATTTATTAAGCGCTTTAGAAATAACAACGAGGCTGTCTGAAGTCATCCACAACAGAACTGAACAAGAAGGACAAACACTGGCCAGATAATCAAAGGTACGCAGACACACAAGCTTTAGAGTTGACAACAATAAATAACAAAATGGATAAAAAATAAAGTCACAGTCAACCACTCACGCTCTGTTGACAGGCAAGGAAAAATTTGTTTTTTAAATTATAAAACAGAAAGCAAAAGTCCTACTACCTCTGATCAACACCATGACTTTAAAATAATTAAACTCAACTGGACTTCTGACCTGTTAGTGTTAAATAGTGCAAATCGGTGCAGCAGTTTAATGAATTGGGCACAATCAGTAAAAAAAACCTGCAAAACAAAAAATTATTAATGAATGAGGCCAGCGAGGGGAAGTCAAAAGTAGAGAAGCATCGTCTCATTCGCTTGCAGCAGTTAAACATCAAGCCGGGATATTTCACTATGAACAAGAGAGAAATGGAAGATTAATTCCAAGAATCTCAAAGTGTTATAAACGCATTTGTTTTGTTTTACTGCGGCAGAGTTCATCTTAAATATATTTTTGAGGACCCACTCAACTGCAAAAAAACAGGATTTTAGTAGTGTCTTTATCTGATTTTTAAGTCCACCAGTAGAATCCATTTCGTAACCTGAATTGGGGGATAATGGCGTTTTCATACGAGGCCAGGACAGAAAAGTCAATACTGGAAAAAATTTAGGGCCATCCATCTCCTGCTGTCAGCAAAGCAGCGAGGAGAGGCTGGACTGAGCGTCCGCCGAGTCACCTCAGCTTAAGGTGAACCCAGCAGTCAAACCAATGAAGATGAAAGGAAATGTTATGTTTTTTTTGGGGGGGGGGTTGTTGTTGTTGTTGTTGTTGTTGAAAATAGCAACAAGATGCCAGAATGTGAGATAAAACATTAAACGTGAAACAAAAAGTGTATGCTGTGATCATTTAAATTCCCCTGTTCTAAAGGAAGGTATTGGGTTTGTTTTGATTAAATATGCGATAATTAATTTCACTCAACATTTGAATGTAAATCAGGCTGTAAAGTGCGACAACATAGCAGTTCTATCATTCGATATTGCCATGACAAGATCAGTTATGATTTACCCACATTTTCTTCTGCTCTCTTTTCTTTTAAGTCATTGAAATGTTCCCCAATATTCTGTTTTCTAATCTTAATCAATAGATACATAAAAGTTGTAGGCAAAAAAAAAAAAGCGACCTGAAGTTCACCTTATAATTAGCCAAAAAGCAGAAATGAATGCATTTCTAAAGCCTTCCCAAATACTGCATCCAGCCATTCTCTTGCTTCATTGCAATATCACACACATTGATGTTGCCGTAGCGATTGGGATTTATTGCACCGCTCTGTGCTGAATGTAGGAATCCAACCTTTCCTTTCTCCTCTCACAGGCTACAGTGGAGGAGCTGAAGGCGTCGTATCGGCGGCTGTGCATGCTGTATCATCCTGACAAACATCGAGACCCTGAACTGAAAAGACAAGCCGAGCAACTTTTCAATCAGGTTCACCAGGCCTACGAAGGTAGGGGGGATTGATTCACAATAAACGCTTTCAGTGAGCTCAATAAGGTATCGATTTGAATTTAATCTGTGCTGAAAGAGAGAGAGTATCTTAAAAAAAAATACTCTCTCCTGAACTAATATTTACTCCTCAGTGCTGAGTGACGCTCACTCCAGAGCCATCTATGACATCTTTGGGAAGAAAGGGCTGGAGGTGGAAGGCTGGGAGGTCCGTTTTATGTACTTTGTCATGCATTCGTTGCTTCAGTGCACGTCGCAAATGCTTCTCTGTACAATACGATGTCATCGCGTAGGTGGTGGAGAGGAAGAGAACACCTGCAGAAATCCGAGAGGAATATGAAAGGCTTCAGAGAGAAAAAGAAGAGAGAAGACTGCAGCAAAGAACGAATCCCAAGGTTTAATCTTCTTTTCCTTTCTTGACTCTTTTTACCTTCTCTGCTTTCAGTATATTTCTGTAAAAAAACAACCCTCTTTTGTGCCGATGTTAATTAAAAGATCGACCTGCGTAACTCATTTCAACATTTCTCCTGCTACTCTTTGTTGCTGTTTAATCCTCTTTTTATTTTGTTTTGTTTTGCTTTATTGCCTCCCAGGGCACAATCAGCGTCGGTGTGGATGCAACGGACCTGTTCGATCGCTATGACGACGACTTTGAGGAGATGCCTGGCGGAGGCTTTCCTCACATAGAAATTAACAGGATGCACATTTCCCAGTCTATAGAGGTAGATCAAAGCACACGCCGTTAGCGCTCCCTGTCCGCTGTTACGTTCTCACGTGGAAACGCCGTCGTGTCTTCAGGCTCCTCTGACCAACACCGACACGGCAATGCTGTCCGGGTCACTCTCCACGCACAACGGGAGCGGAGGGGGCAACATCAACGTGACTGTACGCAGAGTCACATCAGCTAAAGGCTGGGGAGAGGTACGCACAACTAACACGGCTAATAATAAAACTTTTGAGCTTTGGAAACGTGGAGTCTACTTGCATTTCTGTTCATTTTCAAAGGTGGAGTTTGGCGCTGGAGACACGCTGGGGCCACTCATCGGGTTAAAGGTGTTCCGTAACGTCACGCCGCAGTGGTAAGGCCTGGATTTTTGTGCGGCACGTCGGAGGCAGCGCTGCTCCTCGCTCCGCAGCCAATGTTTGTCGCTTCTCTGTCCAGTTTTCTCACGGCCCAGTGCGGTGTGCAGTTCTCGCCTCGAGGCCTGCGGCCGAGCTGCTCTCTGATGACGGCGCGCCACCTGGACCAGAACACCATGGGCTACCTTCAGTGGCGCTGGGGGCCCAATAGCGCCATGACAACCAGCCTGGTGCGGGACACCAAGAGTAGCCACTTTACTTTAGCTCTGCAGGTAAACACAAGTATAATGGTGTATTTACAGAAGCTATTAAGTAATTACCGGCATTATTTATCTCATTAGTTTAAGCTGCATCACGATTTGTTTTAATTGTCTTTTTTTTTTTTTGATGGTATAAGTTCAGTAATTTATTAAAAACAAGAATCAAAAGCACTAGTTTGCATTGGTTACGTCTCTAATACATAATCAATGTGTCCATACAGGCTGACAAATATCTCACGTTGCAGAGGAACCTTTCTCTTTGCGTAGCCATCAACAAACTCTTGGCTTAATTCTGACTAGGTATTTCACTACTCGCTTTGCTAGAACTGGTTCAATTCATTGAAACTTGCTGGTTTTCTGACTCTTAATCCACAAATAGGACTATGCCAGGTTTTAGATTCTGTTTTAGTTACCTGTTCAGAATGTCACCTGTCTGAGGAGAAATCTGCAAAAGAGCCGTTCCTTTACCTGCGAGTAACAGTTTGAGTCAGACGGTTAAAACATCCAAAATAAGAGACCTTGAAGCAAGACAAACATTGACAGCTGTGGACATACACAAGTGAAATGCCTTATGGAATACATGGATTAAAGGTGCAATATTATGTATTTTCTAGGTACGTAGTGCCATTTTGTAACAAAATAAAGTAACTACGTCACCCTCAGTTGTCATAAATCAAACATAACTTGGCTTCACAGTTTGACACTTTAAATTTCCCCTCAGTCTCTTTAAGAAGCTCCTGCTTTCCTTCAAAAAAGTAGATTTTTCAAAATACCTCCAGGCCCTTCATGACATTTGGCCACAGTGACACATGAACCGCGTCGCCGTTTGGAAGATGGTTTTGAGGTGAAACCTTCAAAATGGAAAGGCACGGTGGAGGCAGCATCATGCTGTGGGGTTGTTTAACAGACTCATGACGAAGATTCTTGCTGAAGCAATCAACTAGACGGTTGAAAATTGGACAAAGTTGAGCAGGACAACGAACCCAAACACATGTCAGAACAGAATAACCCCTAACCCTGTTGGACATGTATGGACTGTACTTTGTTTGTGGCGGGAAATCCACTAATTGAATATAATTTTAGTTGTATGTCGTGTTATGATTCCACCCTGGGAGACAGACTGCAGGAGCGTAATTAGAAGCCTAAACCGACTGCGACATTCAGGCCCACGAACTGTGTATGTAAACTTGTGACCAGAACTGTAATGTTTTCCGTTTTCTGTTTGGTGTGTGTTTCTAGCTGGGTGTGCCTCATTCCTACCTGATGATGAGCTACCAGTACAAGTTCCAGGACGAGGACCAGACCAAAGTGAAAGGCTCCGTAAAGTATGACTTTTATCACTGACACAGAAAAAAAAACAACATCTTTTTAATTTTGATCGAGCTGTTTGCAAGACAGGCTCTCTGAGCAGCGTTTGTTATGAATCGTCGTACCGTTTGTCGGGTTTTTATCATATCAAACAGGCTGATGTTTGGGGAAAAGGCAGTGCTGTCACTTTAACATATTAGGGCTTTTTTTCTTTTTTTTCTTTTTCCCCTGAACCCATAGACTGCTTCATTGTGTCCCTGAAGAACATCCAAAGCACAAGATGAAAATAATCCAGTTGTTCTGGTGTGACTCAGTGGAGCAGATTGTTGCTATAAACAGGATGTTTAGCTGCTAATCCTCCGCCCTCTTTTCTTTTTTTATCCCAGCAATAACGCAGTGACAAACGCATTAGAAACTTCAAAGAATTTCAAAAAAAGATCTGGATTGCAATTGAGATTTTTATTTATTTTTATTTTTTCACTTGAAAGTAATACTTAAGCTTTGCCTTTTTCATGGGAGTTCTGCAGCAGCTGATTTTTAGGTGCTGCAGTTTCGAGACGAACTAAAGAAGCCGAGGTGACGTCTACCACCTTGGAAAGAGCAGTAAATAGAAAATGATGACTTATTTCCCCTCTGAGTCTCGTTGGATTTCCTCTAAAACATTTGTGAACACGTTCCTCCGTCAACTGACCTCAACACAGTCACCTTTTTGTAAAGTGGAGACCAAAAGAGATTTCTACAGCTAAGAGACAAAAAGTGTCTTTTGCCAACTTGCCGAATGGTTGCTACATGACAATAATGAATAAATGTAGTGCAAAGTGGAATTTTATCTTATTTCTAAAGCAAGTTTTATGTCAGCAGGTGTAAAATTTTCTGACTCAATAAAACTGAACGTCCTCTGGCTCAGACTTTAAAGCCGTGAGGTTGTTTTGTTGTTCGCATATATATTTACTACTTCTTCTGCTTCCTGGAACATGGAAAACCATCTGATGTCGAGAACCCTGACTGCACTATTTATGTACCTGTGCAAAATTTAGATCGGTTCAAGTTCAGAAAAAAAACAGAAAAAAAAAAAAAAAAAAGCACGCATTTTTAGTTTTACCAAACTTTGCACTCTTCGGCATCCGCCCGGTCCGATCTCTGTTCACGTTTTCTCGCAGGACAGGCTGGTTCGGCACAGTGGTGGAGTACGGAGCGGAGAGGAAGATCAGCCGTCACAGCGTTTTGTCGGCCACGGTCAGCATCGGCGTCCCGCAGGGAGTCACACTCAAGATAAAGTATGAGCCGCGAGCTCGCACTTTTCTGTGTGTCCTCGTCCGTCTGAATGACGG